GAGTGACTCATTTCTTTTTTCTGACTTCACAGAAACCCAGGTTTCGGTGTAAGAGATTATGATTAAAGTTACAGTTAAGTACACTTAAAAAAATTGATGGACATCATTAAGACACTTTTAACAAGAAATTTATTTTCATTTTAGAAACAACTGAAATATCAAAGTACTTGTAGAGAAAAGAGGCAATTGCTATTGTTAAATTGAAAAATTTGGGAAATTTATGTTTTATTACGAAATAATGGGAACAAAAAAAAAGGTTATCTGAGGATGATAGGACTAACACCAAAATACACTTCTGACTTTAGACAGCTGGGTTAGAGTTGAAAAGGCTTGCCAGTGCCACTGGAGATATCTCAGCTTCTCATTATGCTGTTTCTTTATTTTACAGCTGTCCTGTTTGAGCAGGGGGGTTGAATTCTTTATTTGAGGTGCAGAAGCCCTGTGAAACCATAACTTTCTACACTGGCTTCTGTGAGGGAAAGGCTTGTTGAGATCACGCTTCAGTAAGAGTTGGTGAACAGAGTCGTCCTGATCGGAAAGGCTCTGTGAACAAATGTGTTTGCTTTCCACTGCTTCCTCAGCTCTTCCCTCCAGTTGAATCTCTGATAGTGAAATAAGGAAAAGAAGCAAGGTGGGCAAGCTGCTGGAAGGGCTGTTACCTGCTAGTGAGGTATCTCCACTTAAGAAGGTACCTGAAGCAGTACAGCCACTGGACCACGTTAGTGTTCTGTAACGTCAGTGTAAGTGATGTCTCTATTTCTGCTCACTTTGTGTGTCAAGGGATGGGAAGTCAAGGGTTTGAACACAGTTACACAGTGTGAAAGTTGGGGTTTCTAGACTACAAAACTTCCCTTCAAAATATGTGCATAGCGACACTACTGGCCAAGTGCATGTGAGTTTGTATAGTCTCGAGTGCTATATCCACCTGCTGTAGAGTGAACACAGAATGCTCTGCTACAGAAACTCTTCACACAGATTTCACCAACGATGCCTCAGTGCTGGCTTGCTTTTGAAGCGTTATCCAAGTGTCAGTGCTAACATTTAGAGATCACTTTGTGTGTTAGAATTAGTAATATTTTACTTTTTTTTTTTTTCCCCCTTCTTGTTTTTTTCCCCCCTCCTGAGGCTAGTATATGTAACCATTGATTTATTTTCAACTGGACAGATCAAAACTGAACTAAAAGGATAGAGAAATAAGAAAAAACATTCTGATAGCTGGTTATTTATTGCAACTGCAGACTAGTGTTTAATGGCAAATATGAAGAGCATGTTTGACATTTTTAGATTTACTCTTGTAGTAGTGTAAGTAATACAGTAGTAGTACTCTTAAGCACTCTGCTAGGTTCCAGGAAACAAATGAGATGGCTTGGGAAAAGCTGAGGACAATGCTTTGGAAATTGTTGATTTATAGATAGATAGTGATTTCAATTAGATGTCTACAAATCTATTGTCAGGACAAAACTATGGGGTAGCTGTAAGTTCCATCAGTATCCCAGTGTCTGATTTCAAAGTCTTTCTCTTTCTTTCTGTTTTCTGAGTTTATGCAAGCTATCAAAATGTCCTATGTTGGTTCTTGTAGCTATGTAGACCTTCTTCAGGTCAAGAAGCGATAAAGATAGAACTACATATCATGGTGCTTTGAATTTAGGGCTAGCAAGTTGAATGATTCAAAGAAAATCATTGTAGTTTACTATGTGAATGTCTTCCCAGGGTTTATGCCACTGAACTTGAAACCCCACTGGGGATGTCCAGTACTAAGATGAAAATTACTGTTCTGCTATTGCAGATTCCCAAGCAGATAGCAAATTTTCTTAGTATTGTATGTTCCTTATTCTTACATGTCCTCTTATTCAAAAATTATATCATACATAACAGTATGTATTCCTAGTTTTACTTCTTGTTGAAGTCAATAGTAAATGTTCTCAAAAGTTCAGGATTTTTTTCTAAAACTAACTTATGGTAACTCATGTCAGCAATAACAGCATAACAGGATATTTCTATACTTGTGTTTTCGACAGTAGCTCCTTAATTGTAAAGTATAAAATGCTTTTGGCCACCCATAAAATACTTCCACGTGTAGGATGTTTCAATAGAAACATAATTCTGCTGATATGTCCACCACTCACTTGAGGCCTTCATTACATTTGTGGGTTTGTTAAATTTTATTTTCAGAAAGACTCGTTTCAGCTAAGTTCTGTCTCCCTACAGAAACTTGGAACTAAGTGTCTGAGTTTGTTAGGGTTTACTGTGTGCAGCTGATTCAAAATAATAGTCAACATAATCTGGGGAGAAAAGAGCAAAGGGATTATGATCTTTATTATATAAATAAACCCGTGTGTTCCTTTATTGCAACAGACATTTTGTCCAGTGTGCAATTTGGACGTTGTTTGTGTTTCTTCTAGTATGTGAACTTGTTGTACATAAACATTACATACATTGAAAGGGTACAAGAAATACATAACGCACAACTGTTTGTTCTGCAGAATAAAACTTTCTACATTTGCAGTGGTTAATATTTTTCAGGTATTATCATATGCTTTTCAGAATTTTATTTAGCTGTCAGAGTACTCCAAAGATCTAAATATAGCAGACTGTAGTGTTTTGAAGTGATCGTTTAGAATGAATTTCCAGATCTCAAAACCGGCACCTGTTAGATCAGAATACAGTGAATTATGCCCACTCCTACTGCATTTTACTATCCATTTCTGGTTCTATGCATGTTAAGGGTGATTCAGTATGCCTTTTGTGCTTGACAGTCTGATTTCCACAGCTAAGAGGTAAATATAGATAGCATGATTTCAATTGCAAAACAGAGATTTCCTTCCAAAGCAGGTGTGTTTTATCTAGCTAGTGGTAGGATGTTGCAAGACAAGATCACTGTTCCTATTTACATTTAAAAATAAAGAGCAAAAAGAAGAGAAAACCTTGATATATTTGTATTTAGGTTGCTAAGCGTTGGCTGACAGCCTTTCCTTCGTTATCTTGGATATCTGAACTGCTTTTATTAAAATTGTCTGTGCTTTTAAGAGCTGAATGGTATAAGCAGGTGTTTTGCATGACTGTAATTTTTTTTTAATTTTTTTTTTTTTTTTTTTTTAAATTAGAATGACTGCTAGTTAATTTTGATCTTGATGCTGGTTGACTATGTGCCTCTTTTTTTTTTTTGCTTTTCTTTTTTCACTGATAGCTCTAAAATACTATGAAATGAATTCAAACTTCTGAATCACTGAGGTCAGTGACAGAAGGGAGCAGACCACTGTGCTGTTGCAGATCTTACCAGAGCAACAGAAAAGTTATGACCTCTTCAAATTACCAATCTTTTTGAAGGTTACTGCCCTCACGGATCAGATGTAGTAGAAGATCACGTGAGAGCTTACAGCTGAAACTTCTATGTATTTAAATTAATCTTTGACAAACAGTAAACCTCAGCTTGTTCAGGTTTGGCCACTCAAGTACTATTTTATGTGTAAACAAGGATCTGATGAACAACTGCAACTCCCTTGGATTTTAAATATTCTTGTCTCAGCAACTGAATACCTGGTTTTCTGACTGAGCCAGGCTAGAGTCAAGGGTTTGAATCCTTATTAGCACTTGTTAAATTGCCTGTGAAGCCAGAAAGACATTTCTCCGCTTTCTGCACTTCTTTCTAGTCCTTCCTCATGAATTCTATAGTCCAACTTGTATGTGAAATTTTATCCAGCATTCTTAGCAGTAGCTACAGCCACACATTTAGATTTCCTTAGATCCACCCCCAGACAAAACACTTGTCCCACCTCTACTGGGATTTGTGCCAGCACAGTTTTAAGAGGCTCCCAGACTTGAGGTTCGCATCTCTTGTCCCCTCATAACAATAAAAGCAGTTAATTCGAAGTGGCAGATGCTCAGTTTATGAAGTGCAAACAGGTTTAGAATAACATGTGGGTAGGTGCCCAAGGCTAGATACTCAAGCTAGTAGAAGGTAATTTAAAGTTCATTTTGTATTAAAACCAGTTTCCTATGTTATTTGGATTTTCTAAGTGAGTATGAAAACATTTAAGTGTTGTGTTTCATCTGGTAATATGATCTATGGCTTATTTAGGTTAAAATGATTTTGATGTCCAACCAAATACTTCAGTCCTGATTAATGCCATAGCACAGGTGTTTTATAGAGTTTTATGTTTTTAAATCAGTTGGTAACTTCTTTTAAAGGAGCATTGATTTTCTTTTTCCCAGTTTGTTCTTCTCAGTGTGTATCACACTAAATGTCACATTGAATTTGTGACTTTCTGAAGCCATCTATACTGCAGAATTTTAAATGCCTAAGAGGTGTTTTTTCTTCCTGTGCTAATCTTAATCAAATGACTGCCCCTTGCTACCTGGATTCCTTGGGAGCTTCAGCTTTTTCTTCCCTCTATTTTCCTTTGCTCTTAGAAAATTTGATCATTAAACTATTAGATTTCAGGCAGAACAGCAAAGGACATGTGGATAGTAATGAGGTCAGATGCTCTCACATACAACCTGTTGAGTCTTCACAGAGGAGCTATGTCATGCTAAATTATCTGCATGTGTTGGTGAGCAAGGATGAATTAGAAGCTGAGCATAAAGTAGCGCTCTAATAGAAGAAATGATGGACACATTCATTCTGGTGAATCCCACTATCTGTCAGAACCATGTCGTCTGCCCCTGCTAAATCAAATTCATGTTCAAGTTAGCAGCTCTGATAGCTACCTGCTAGACTGCAGAATCTGTGCTAAAAAAGGATTTCCCATTTTGGTTTGATTCTGCCACCTAGTTTAGCAATATGATAATTGCTTTTGGAACCACTCTGTGGGTAGTCTTAGTACTGCACTGAGTATGAAAGAACCGGGGTTTGATTCAAGAGGTGGTTGGGGTGCATAGTTCTGTGACCATGGAAATAAATGTGTGTGTGGTGGTTTTAACTGTGTGTGACATGACTCTTTTCATGGTCCCCCTCTTGAAACAGAGTTCCTAAAAACTGTGTTTATTTTTTCTGAGTGCAGAGTTTCAGAGCGGAGAACCGGATCTTTACCTTGAAGCTGCATCTAAGCCAGATTGCGAATCTTGGGCTGTGGCACTGGGAGAGGCAAACTCGGAAGGTTTGCAGAATAAAATTCAGCAGCTCCGAAGGCTGATCATGGAAATCAAAGAGGAGAGATCGTCAGATGAAGCACGGCAGTTTCTCCCGTCATCCCAGGTAGACAGTCTAGGAGAGCTACAGTTTACGAGTAAGTGCATATACTCATTTTATTGAATCGTGCAGTAAAAATGGCCTGCTCTCTGTAGCAGTACACGTATTGTCACAAACAGGGTACATGACGCTTTTTAACTTCTTACCTGACAAAGTGCAGTTGTAGAGGAAGTAAACAGTTGAATATTATCTTTAAATGTCGTTACTTGATATATTCTGCTTTATGCAAATAACCTTCAGGGGAACAAATGTGCGATTGCTGTGTTTCTGACTTTCTACTCTGTTTTCTTCATGAGACTTTAATATTTCTAACTAAACAATATCTTTTTCTCCTTTTGTGTCCTATATGAACATATGTTCTACTATTTAAAATATAGTCTGATAACGTTGATAAATATATAAAGCTTTGGTGATACTTAAATTCCTATCACAAATTTGTTCTTTGTGATATAAAAGCACTCTGAGGATTTGAAAGTACGTAGCCATATGTTGAATCATGTTTCGTGCACAGGAGTCTGGGCACCTTATTTCAGTGGCCCAGTTACTTAATCGAGACTGTATCCAGCATATTCATAAAGGTGTTCCAGACCAATATGCTGACTCTGCTAGTGACAAAGTTCATCTTGGAAATTCGTTATAACTCCATTTAAAAAAAAAAAAAGATCTTATTTATTACTTCTTACTGACCAAGTCCTTTCTAAGCTCTGCAGCTGTAATTTTTCTTGCACAGACTTGAATGATTAGCTATAATAATGAGAACAGTGTGAAACTAGACAGACCTATTCAACAATGTCAAGTTTTCACAGAGCAAGAACAGCTATAAGTTTCAGGGTTTTATTTTTTTGTGTGTGCTTTTTTTTTTTTTTTATTACTTTTAACAAAAATCTTGCATTACAGTTCATAAACCACCTTGATCCTTCCCATCTGACCAATTTCTTCAAAACTGGCAAATATTTAATAATGCTCACTGGAGACAATACATAAATGTCAACAAGAGAGTTTAATTGCAACAAGGTTCATTGATACTGTAGCTGTGATCCAATTACTTCCTGCAGAGGGTGAACAACTCACTGTTATTTAACTATTCTTCCTACGTTTCTCTCGTTGCAGTTCTCTGGTTCACTCCTTTATCCTAGTGCAATAAGAAAATATTGTCCTTTTCAGTAGAATATATACTGGAACATAATTTCACAGTGGAGGGAATTAAAATGTTCTGTTGTCCTTAGCAGATGAATTCCTTTTCTCATGTACAATTTTCCAACAAAAAGAAGTTGGTTTTATTGCTTTATGATTTCTATGTATGTCAGTAACATAGTAGTGATATGTTTTACTATATTAACCTGATTGACACACTTTCACAGAACATGGTTTTTGTTTCCATTTTCAATGTGATGACATACCTATTTAAAAATAAGTGGTTAGATGTAATATTTTTCAAACAGATATATAGTTAGTAGTTGTGATCGAAGAGTATCCATCCACGAAAGGTTAGGATTTTTTTTCCTTAATTTCCTTTCCCAGTGTCAGAAAGTTTCTATTAAAAAGAAAGGAGTCGTCTTCAACAGTAGTCGCCTTTGTCAGGCAAGTGTTTTATGCAAAGGACACTTTCACTCTAAGTTTGTAACATAAAATGTTACTCCAGTGGCAACTGCAGATAGCTTGAGGTATGGATTAGGCATGTGGAAGTTTTACTAGGTATTAAAAAGCTAGACATTAAAATAAAAATGAATTGCTAATTTTTTTTTTTTTTTAACCTTAAAAGGTATTCAGAGAATTGCAAATGAGCCAAAGCTGGAGTTCAGTCTTGGTAAGACACCATTTTGACTTACTGGAATTGCAATGGCCTGCGTGCATGTGGAGTGTGTATGTATAGTGTTATACAACGTAACATGTTACCTGTTTTAAAAAGGCAGATCAAGGCTGGCTCCTTTAGGTAGTTGATGTGCCTGTGCATGTCTTTGAAACGCTGACTTTAGATTCTTAATTGGCTGAAATGTAAAAGATCTCTTGAGTTCTCTAATGCTATGGTGCTTGCCCAATAGCATTGTGAATGTTGTTTATAAAATATTACTTATTCAGAGAAAAGCACTGTACCTTTAGGACAAACTCTTATTTAAAACCATTGATTACTATTTTGTAGAGGAGTCAATAGAAGCATTTATCTGATTTTCCCCTTTTTATACTTAGTATAATTAATTAGTATGAGAACTATATATTAGTATAATGTACAAACTTTGTTTCAGGAGGCGTTCAGCTCAAGCCTCCCTTGTTATTCAGAGGTATACAGCATGATTAAGATTGCTCAGTAAGTCAAGCAAGCTAATTGAATGATTATTATTTGTGATACAAGATAAAGGTGCACAATATTTGCAGCCCAAACGGTGCTGTTTAGAAAAGCTAAAGGCTATATGCTGCATGCATTCTGAAATGACTAAAACTTGTCCAATTTGTTATGATTTTTGCATTCATATAACCTGCTAATATACATCGCATGTTGTACAGCTGTACACTGAGAAACTTTTACTCAGTGCTATTCAGTATCTGTTACATTTACTCTGATAGAAACACTTTAAAGCATCTATTGCACACATAGGGAAATAGAGACATTTGTAAGAGGGGTGTTTATATAAAAATCAAACTGCGCTATTTGGAGAATTTTAAATTATAATATCTACAAACAAATCTCCATCTGAAACCCCACAGCACAGCAAGCAAGATGGCATCAGTGACATTCCTGGAGGTTCTTGCCCCTCTCATTCTGTCATGAGTGGCCTGCTTTCTGACCCTGTCCTTTGAACTGGGTTACACTTGGCTTGTGTGCTGCTGCAACTATGCTGCTTTAACAGCTGATACCACAAAGCTGGATGTGGTTCTGTCTGATACAATCTTTTTTAGTTTCCCTTAATTATATCTGGGTAGCTTTACCTATTTGCCTTTTAAAACCTAGACATTTATAGCATTACAAAAACTTTGTCAAGTATTTTTTTTTTCCATGGGGACTATTTCTGCTGATATTGTTAAATGTTGGCATGGAAGAAAGGCCTAGTTCTCTGTTGAGGAATTGCCATTCTATAATAATTATTAAGAGCAATTTTAACTTTTCTGTGCCTTCCTATATGCATTTTATAGGTGATTTGACTGTTGTATTTGGCATAGCTAGTCATTGTTATGCTCCAGTGATAACAAACTCCCAGAATGGCCCTGGTGTGGTGTAGGATCGGGGAAAGGTGCTACAGGTGGTGACTGCAAATTAGATGAGCTGTACTTCAGGAGAAGTTGTTTTCAGTGATAAATGTGCCCCAGCAGGCAGAAGTGTAAAAACAATGTAGAGCCATTTTCAGACTTGTCCAGGCTCATGCTGGATGGAGCTCTGTTCACTCATGGTGTCAGTATTTGTATTTTGTGTTTGGTTGTTTCTAGTGGGAATTTACGTTTTGTGGTTTGTTCTGCAGCATTATTGATTGAGTCCTTGCAGCGCTGTGAGTGATCTTATACATTGACTTCTGCTGCTGCTCAAGTAACACATAAGAGTAACAGCGTAAACCTTTGGGTTTTGAGTGGTATTTCTGGCCAGTGTCTTAAGTCAGGGGTATCTGGCAGCGTAGGCAGCTATGTAAAGCTGATTCTTCGTGTCTTGATCAAAAATAATACTAAAAGTTTAAGCATAACACGTTTACATGAGGGTTATCCACCTTCAGTGACTGGGTGATCCACAGAAGACTTCAATTTTATCATCACAGTTATCCTTGTTACTGGAATGCCAACATACACATGCTTCCTAGCTCCAGCCATGCCGCTCACCACCACTGGGATACTCATAGGTGTACTCATAGGATGCCTCTTGCTAATAAGCGAGACAGGGACAATTTATCCAGGAAGGAAGCATGTGCTGTTTGGTCCAACCAGCCAGCTGAGATACCTCTCGCAAGGGCAGCTGCTCAAGATGCTGTCTGTGCTGTTCCCCTGGTTACTGGTAGGGCTAGAAGGGACTCGCACTCTGGCAGGCTGCTCTGTGCATCCGGGAAACATGCTGAGCCCGATAGGTGCCCCTGGGCTGCTGGCAGCCCAGGGTTGCCAGTTGGCTGATCGCATGTTTTGAAGGCTTGGTTCCTCTCAAATTAAAGACTTGGCAATTAGCTTTAGCTAATCAAGGACTTTAAAGAGTTCTCTGAGAGATAACTCAAAGCATGGCAAGCAGGGATGAGAGAGATTTGCTGCAAGGAAACACACTGGTGCAATATGTGCCTAACTTAGGTAACCGAATCTTAGGACTCTGTAGAGATGTTTCAACTTGATTAGTCTGGTCTTTAGCATTTAGAATTTGGAAAGCAAATCTAACAGTTAATAACATATAAAGCTGGTCTCTAGCTCTGAAAGAATGGCTTATATCTATTTTTTTTTCATGAGCGTTATATAAACAATAGTAAATAGTTAAATAGTGCATATATATATATATATGCAATAGACATTTGCTTATATTGGTAGGTATATACACGTTTTTAACTATATTAAAAATAATTGTCAGATATCTCATAATTATGTATTGTAACTCTTCTGTCACTAGTTGGTCAATAAATAAAACTCAGAAATTGAACTCTCCAGTAACTAAGACAGAATATATCTTTTTAATAACATGTGGATGCTGCCTAATATATAAGTTTTATTTAGGGATAGTATATCTAAATACTGATCTTCAACATTTGAAGTTCTGATAACTAAATTTTGAAATAATTTTTTTTTAAGTCTTGCTTGGGGCTTGTATTCTGTTGTGATTGCTAACTTGCTGCATTCTGTATCCATTACACTCTGGAAATTGTTTTATAGAGTATCCAAAATATTGCCTTCTTTATATTTTAATTTTCTGTAAAATTTGTAGGGTTTTTTTGTTTGGTGGGTTGGTTTGGGGGGTTTTTTTGAGGTTAAAGCGAACAATAAAACTCTTCTTGAATTATAGGTTTTCACTGCAAAACACTCAACATCTCTTGGAGTGTACCCGACCTTGTAAGATTCCTTATTTTGGAGTCAGAGTTTCCTTTAGAGTAAGATTTTTGATATTTATATTCTTGAGGACTCTTGGGAAGTATGGCTGGGTTTTGAACCTTGTAACTGTGGGGAAGCTTTACTTTTCAAACTTGATTTGTTGTTCGGCTTTTCAAGTCATTCTGTTCTGCATGCTGTTTTATGAAGCACTAGAAGGTAGCACGTCAGTATGTGCAGAGTGCTGAGTAGAGAGGAGAAACAGAGAAAAAGGAATAAAAACAGATCCTGGGTATAAATTAACAAACTAATCTAGCAAACAGTGAAGCTGATAAGAATCTTTCCTAGGACTTTGAAGTGGACCGGGTTAGTTCTTTTATACATGTTAGTTTTGGAGTTACCATTCTTGGTTGCTTCTTTAAAATATCCCAGCCCTTGAGTCCTAGATCTAAGTAAATATGGTGCAGGTTCCTGACTTCACATTGATTTCAGTGTAAGTGTTTGTGATATGTGAACTTAGCTGAAGTATGGGAAATAAATTATATACTGTGCGTACTGGTGAACACTGTTGTGAAGTTTTAAAGAGCTTGCACCTCTAAATATATTTACATTTACTTGATGATGACCTGACAAAGCACCACAAGAAAACTCAATAATCAGTAAAATGAGGGATCAGGGCAGAAGGCACAGTTGGTAGTCAAACTGCTCAAACACAACAGAGTAATGAATGTGATGTTGTTACGGAGAAATACATTTGAAAAAGTAGTCTAAAAGGAAAGTTGTTTGCTCTCTCAGTGCCCAGTAGAATTAATTTTGACACATTCTAGTGTGTTTGAATTTGTGTAAATGATTAGACTTGTGAAGAGAGAGCAAAGGATATTTCAACTGTGGGTGTAGTATAATAATCTAGATAACTGAATAGGAAGGAATGTCTCTGCACATGTTGTAGGCATAGTCAGGTACTAATTTTAATGAAAGCACCTGTCTGGCATCTCCAAAAGCTTTCAATTTCTTGGAAAGTATGTTAGGACACTGAAGTTTGGACTGTCTTACTGTTGCATAACCTCTAGGTACTTTTCAAGTTATGTCCTTTTACAAAAACACATTAAATAGCGCACAAGTGATAGAAAACTTCAGCAAGTAGTTGAAAGAATTAAAATTTAAAATCTTTAAGGTATTTTTTTCATTAACCAAATAGCGTGTTGATACTAGAGATGTCTACCTGTGAATGCAGAATATTTTATTGTTCACAGTCTTATTTTTCCTAGAGTAATAGTGTGATGGCATCCCTTGGAAAAGGTTTTGAAGCTGATTTAACTCTACGTAGTGAACCTAAATGGTACATTGATGGTGCTCAAAGCCCATGACTAAATGATTTTTCCAATTCTGAAATATAATCAGGAGCTTTTTCAGCACCAGCTGTTCCTAGAAGAGTGATAAGGAGAAATACTATATTTATCCATACCACAAACTTGGAGTCAGAGTCCTGATCCTAGCAGAATTTTCCCATTTAACTCAGTTATCCTTCTGCTTCATCACATTACAGGTGGTGAATAACTGATACTTTGTTGAGTCAGCCAAAAAAAAAAAAAAAAAAAAAAAAAAAAAAAAAACCAAAAAACACAACAGAAAAGCTATCATCACACTTTTGTGTAGATTTAAAAATTTCTCTATGAATCAAAGTGGAAGTGTCACTTTATGCTGAAGGGTGTTTATCTCTCAAAAAAGGTTGTGTTGACCATGTTAGGAACAATATTAGGAAAAATATAAAAAGGAAGGTTGAGTTTGGGCTTTTTAAAATTTTACTTTTAAATTTCACCCTTTTTTCTG